AGGTCTTGTGCAAAGTTAAGGGCGAATTTTATTAGAAACTGGTTCAGCGATCTCTGATACAGTTGCGCCAGTATCGATCTCAATTTGAATCGATGATCATTCAATGAGATGTTTATCTTGATTGGTTCTGATTTGATGTTACTAAGCAATTTAACTGTTCCAAAGCAGCTGTAGGTGGGCTTTCCAGAGTATGTACTCTGCTAGATACCCTCCTGAATACCAGCCTGTGAGTTATCTTACTCAACTTAGTTCTAGTAGGAGCATTTTACTGTCTTGCGTCTGCATATAGGCAGCAATTACAATGGCTTGCCAGCCAGATTCCTGAAGAAATTGTAACCATTTGGCTGAGGCTTGGCTTTGTTTTCAGTTTTGCTGTGGGCTGACCCAGAGTTCCTCTGATCAGATATATCCTGAGTGAGGTGATGCAACTGCCTTCACTCAAGTGCTGTTCCCCAAGATCAGTCAGACTGGCAAGGATAATCACTTCCATTGGAATACCGTGCAATTCATTTGCTGCACTTGCCACATTCTCCAATGGTAAAGCCAGTTGTAGTGCTTGTTTGAAGTCCAGTTGGGCTTCAGCCAGCAGATGTTTTTGCATAGTTACATTATTAATCCCCCACACCAGATGGTCTCTAAGCATCTCATTAAGGGTTAAACCAAATTCAGTCATCTTAACCTAGTCAAAAACCCTGATACGGATTCCCCTGGTTCTCGAATTGCCAAGTAAAAGCGATAGCATCTCCGAATTAGAGGAGGCTTGGGGGTCATAATATTCCTTAACTATGTCAGTCAATCCTTGAAAGGTTTTAGTATCTGGTGCCTCAGGGAAAGTTAGGCTCCCAATGACAGAAAAAAAAACCTGCAGGTCTGCAAGGTGTCAGGACATTACCCATTGTTTTTATCTGTCCTGATGTCATTTGTCTGGAAAAAATAATGCATTCTTTCCACATACTGGGCCCCAAAAGTCAAGCTTCCAAGACAAAGGCATCATGTAAGAAATGCTTACTTCAACTCGAATACAACTAGTACAAGAGAGCTTTTTCAGGAGCATGCTTTACTCTTGTCACCACTGAAATATCTCTGCAGGGGCTGATATCCTGTCACCAAGTCACCCTTTATCAACACATGAACGGTCCTGGAATATATCAAAATCGGCACCAGAGTGTCGGTACCTCTGACAACTCACCCTTTTTAATGTGTTAGCCAAGGCTCCCTGATTTGGACCAGATGGGCCTAAATCAGGGAACTATGAGGTCTGGCTGGCTGGCCTCACTACAAACACTACATATAGTTTCTACTAAATAGATGTAAATGTGATCAGGATTGGTGGGAAAGTTTGCGCAAGTCTCCTGAATTGAGAAATAAGAATTGGTTGCAATCTATTCACTGCATTTCACACACAGGACATTTAACGTTGAATGCCCATAAGCAGGGGACACAACGAGGGGGCTAGATATCAATCGTAACGTCATTGCATTGTGTGAAATTGTTGCATTCAAGATGGCAACCACTAAAGCTGACATTCATTGTTGGCAATGGATATAAATAGTGCACTCCATTATGAACTGAAAATATGTTAGCATTGCTACAGCTGGACAATTTTATTGCCCCATATGTATCTGTCACAATCTGAAGTGTTTTCTTTTGCAGCATATTTGTTCATAAGTAGAAAATAACAGATGTGTTGTCGAAGACAATTATGTCATTCTTTCTGCCGGGTAACTTGCTGCTGACGGACCAGAATATCAGGCGTGCGAATTATCTGACAACAGAGGCAAATGGAGAATAAGAGGGCGCAACGTTATTTTACTTCTTTTTAGCACTGAATGGGATGATGTTCATGGAATTGTGCCAAGTGGGAAATTGAAAACATTAGATGGAAATATGAAGACTGCTCACAAAGGACATGAAGTATCTCAGTTCTCTGCCCTGGTAATAATCAGGATATTTATTATCACCTTTCATAGCTCCTTCTGAACTTGTGGCTTACTCCAATAACAGCCATTTGTCATACTTGAGCCCATGTGTTCTGCCACGCTGGCAGTGCTGTGTGCTTTGTGTATGTTTGGCCTATTCTATTATGCAGTGTTAAGAAACCTCCTGCTGTCTCTGCAACTCTAGATAAGCAGGATGATGTGATGCGATAGTTTACACGAAGCAATATTGCGCAGAAGGACATCTCACCTTCATATTCTCCAAACTGTCACAACCTCCGATACTGTTACAACTGTTCCATGCAGTGAGATGAACTATCACTGATATACTCCAAAGACAGTCTTATGGAGAAGAGCTTCTTCAACAGCAAGAACCAATTTGTACACATTTTTCTTCACTCATTCTGCAAGAGTATACTTTGTGTTTGAGTGATTCCAAATAACCATTGGGTCAAAGTTCAAATCAAAATGATTATTGCAAAGCTCTTCAGCAGGCTACTGGAATTGAAGTTGTTCAATTTTAGACATAAGCTTTTAGTGAATTTCTATAAAATTCCAAATAAAATCCAAAAGAATTTCGGATGCTGTAAATCAGAAACAAAAACTGAAATTGCTATAAAACTCAGCAGGTCTGGCAGCATCTGTGAATAGAAATCAGAGTTAATGTTTCGGGTCTGAGTTCTGAGGGAGGGCCACTAGACCCAAAATGTTAACTCTGATTTCTCTCCACAGATACTGCCAGATATGCTCAGCTTTTCCAGCAATTTGTTTCTGTTATATAAAATTCCTCTGTTCATTTAATATATGTAAAATAACTGTTGAATAATTGCCAAAAGTTTCCTATGAGTCTGCCAACTTTTTTATTCACTCGTGGGACTTGGATGTCACTGGCTGGACCAGCATTTATTGCCTATTCCTAGTTGCCCTTGAGAAGATGGTGATGTGCTGTCTTCTTGAATACCTGCAGCCCGTGTCTTGCAGGTTGATCTTCAATGGTGTTAGGGAGGGCATTCCAGCATTTTGACTCAGGGACAGTGAAGGAACGGCGATATATTTCCAAGTCAGGATTGTAATCGGCTAAGAGGGCTTTGCAGGGAGTGGTGTTCCCGACTGCTGGTCCTTCAAAATAGGACTGAATGTGTTAGCAGCCACATTTTCCTCCTTATTGTACAACTGAAGTTTTGTCAAAGACAAGGTCACTCTCCTTTGAGCAAGTTTCAGGTTCCACCTAATGTTCAGGTCCTCACCCGTTGTCCTGTTTCCTGTTGCTGTCCCTGTCAAACCCATCAGCTTTCAGGTTTCCCATGTTGCCCACTAAACCTTTTGTACTTATACACCGATTCAGATGCCTTTTAAATGTTGTAAACATACCTGCCTCCACAACTTCCTCTGGCAGCTCATTCCATACATGCACCACCTTCTGGGTTAAAACATCACCCCCTTCGGTCCCTTTTAAATCTTTCCCCTCTCACCTTAAACCTATGACCTCTAGTTTTTGACTTTCCCACCCCAGGGAAAAGGCCCTGTCTATACACCCTATCCATGCCCCTCATGATTAAGGATTGTTCCCCACTAAGTCAGATACAGCTATTTGACTGAAACACATGCAGTGTGATTAGCACATAAGCTGCTGGCATATACTGTAGGTAATGACATCACTGTAGCACAGGGCCACACATCAACATGTTTACCATATGACTGTTCAGTCCTGGTTGTGACAAGCTGCCAGCCTATCTACATTAAAAAATGCTGTGAAATGCTGTGAGCATATAAGCACAGTGAGTGATGCTAAGAAAGCAAGCTAACAGCCATAAAATGCATGCTATGCAGGTGTGCAAAATGGGGGTGTCCATTTGAGTGCAGAGTGAATTGGCAGATGTATTGAAAGGCAAGGTGTACTCCAAAGTGCTATAAGTGCATGAACACTTTAGTCCAAGATCAGTACGATGTGGTGAGGATGGTGTTTTGACAATGGTGACTTGTGTGGACTGTGCATGGACAGTTGTTGTCTCTGGAGCATGCAATGAGATATTAGTGAATGAACCTTACGATGGCGACACTGACAACTTACAAACTATATGCGCCAGACAACCACACTAACTTCCAATGCATCTAGGGTTTTGCTACAGAATTATGAACTGCATATAAATGAAATGAGATGACTAATGTCAAAGTACAAAATTAGACCTCTTTCCCCCCTTCATGTTGAGAACCAGACTTTTTATTCTTAGAGTATTTTCTCACATCACTCAGAAGCTGTGAAAATTCCACCCACTGAAACTATTACCAAGGTCATTACTCTCACCATCTTTTGCCACTCCTCTGCAAATCTCTGAAAGATGATAGCACCACCTTTCTCCAATTCTGATATTAACCTTGATTGACATCTATGGAAATATAAATGGAGACAAATATAAATACAGCTGCTGTTTCTTTTTCTCACATTATTGCATTCAAATTTACCACAGGCAAGCTTGAAGAGGAAAAGATATTTAATACTGCCTCAGCAATGGGATATGTAATCACGATCTTACTTTTTTCCCCTATGAACATGTATTTGATTGGTGAATCAGAGAAAGACAGCGCCGTCTGGAAAAGCAAAGGATGTAAGAAGTTTTTAGGTAGGGTAACAGAGCCAGCTACCTCAGGTGTGTAAACAGTTTCAATCCGGGCAGGGTGACTAGGACCAAGGTATGCCATCTAGTCTCTATCAACTTCCACAGAAACAACTTTCCATTCACAACTGCTGGCACTGAAGCTCACAAAAGGCGCTTAGTACTTCTGCCACAAACGTCACAGGAGACAGATATTCCTTCCCTCTAGGTTCTGGACAGATGCTTCAGTTTCTGCCATTTTACCATGGTTTGCACTCTATTATCCTTCCATTAATAGGATATTCAGTTGCTGTCTCTGTGGTTTAGGCAATAGCTAATGTTTGTTCTTTTTCAATACTTATGACTGCCTAGACAACAAAATATGAATTAAGGGAAGAATAGACAAGTAAAAATAATATTTATTTCATAAATCATGGAACAAGAGATATTAAATATTTCAAATTTTGCCAAATATTTCATAATGTCCCAGATTTAGTGATTGATTTTCCTTTATTCAGAATTGCTTTTTAGGAATTAAAGTCATTAAAATTATTTCATTATTGCTGTAACACAAAATGCAAAACAATCCGTCAGTCATACTTACAAACAGTATTCTAATGGAATATTAGTTTTTATACAAAAACATTTCCAAGTGATATAATTTCCATAATTAAACCCAAGGACACATTCAAGGGTGAGTTTCTAGAACTAACTCACAGACAGAAATACTTCGGAAAGCTAGAACTTCTGTTTGCGTAGTGATTTTCCAAACTCAAAAATTCTTCATCATTGTGATAGCTTTTCAAGTATAACCATGTCCTACCGATGGTACATGCACTAATTTTTGTAGAGGCAGGTCCATTGTATTGAGATAGATGACCCAGATTGTGTGTGTTTCTGGTGTACAACTTCAGCAAACATTTGGCCACTTCAGCTAATGTCTCAAGGCCAGATTCCATGGCTCTAATGACATAACTCCTATGGAAGTGAAACACACTGACTTCATGGTCAAACTGCAATGGGCTCAAGGCTCAGTCCAGGGATGCAAGCACAAAATTTACATTACCACTGAGGAATAGCTGCATTATCAGCGAGACAGTCTTTCAGATGAGATATCAAACAGATTTGGCCAAATGAAAGCAAAGTACTGTAGATACTGGAAATCTGAAATAAAAACAGATAACAGTGGAGAAACTTAACAGATCTGACAGAATCGGTGGAGTGGGAAATTAACATTTCTACTAGAACTAGGGGGCATAGCCTCAAATTTGGGGGGAGCAGATTTAGCCGAATTGAGGAGGAACTTCTTCACTCAAAGGATTGTGAATCTGTGGAATTCCCTGCCCAGGGAAGTAGTTGAGACTATCTCACAATGTTTTTATGGCAAAGTTAGATAAGATTTTTGAACAGTAAAGGAATTAAGGGTTACGGTCAGAGGGCAGGTAAGTGAATCCAAGTTCACAAAAAGATCAACCACGATCTATTGAATGGCAGAGCAGACCTGACAGGCCAGATGGCCAACTCCTGCTCCTATTTCTTATGTTCTTATATAGTCCAATGACTCCTCAGTCTTACTCTTACATCTTAATCTCTCCTTTACCACCATTAGCACTGCTTTTAGACCTCATCCCCTTCTATCAACAGTGTAAAAAAACTATCACTTTTCAGCCCCGGTCAGTCCTGGACAGGAGTCCTACTGGACTTGAAACATTAACTTTCTCCCTCTCCACCGATGCTGCTAGACCTGCTGAGTTTCTCCAGTACTTACTTTCTTTCAAAAAAAAGATTTGTACATCATTCCACTGTGATTTGAGAGAGTTTGCTGTGTGCAGATCAGATGTTGTATTTCTTACTTTACAATAGTGTCTGCCTCAAAAAAAGTATGTGTAAAACACTTTGGGACTTGATAAGAGGTATAATATAAATGCAAATCTTTCTTTACACTTTGAGAAAAGATCTGTTGCCTACACCAACATTCTATCCAACCTCGATCAGAAATCTGACATAACTAATACTCTCTAGTGGAATCAAGTGAAGGTTTCACATTAAGGATAAGTACCATTTATTAATGTTTGCAAGAACCTTTGATTACAGAATGCCCATAAGATATTGCTAGTGCTTCAAAAGCTTCCATATACCACAAAAAGATAAATGTCAGTCTCAGAGGAAAATAGTAAGTGAAGAAATACTGACAAGTTGTATTCAGACTAATTACTTCATGAATAAAGGGCTTCACTGAGCATTTGAGAATCGTACTGTAATTGTTAGAATTCTGAAGAAAGTACATTTAAACGTAAATTGAAACATTGAAAAGCAAATGCACTTTGATTGCCAGAGCCCAATCCTTACTCTGTTTTATCTCTGCCACCAAAAAAGTTACACATTAATAAGCTGACATTGGTCCAAAAGAAATGCACTTGAGACCAAGAATCAAAAATGAATCGAAAGCTGTTTTGCAATCCACAGATTAGATGGAATATGAAAGCTGTTATCAACAGTTCATATGCCAATTGCCGTGCATAATGAAAGCCCCCTGTAGGCCATAAGGCAATCGGAGTAGATTAAACAAAATATGCAAGAGCTTCCATTTCGGCTGCACTCATTACGTTGAAAACAAAAAGAGAGATGATTATCCAGTGTTGTTAACAGATTGCTGAAGTTGCAAAGACTTGGCCCTGGTCACACATCACTCAGATTATAATGAAACGGTAAACAAATGCTAAAAGTGAAACATGTTTATTTCCCCAGAGAGCTCATTTCCTTCTTCAGGATCTTAATGGCTTGGCTCGATGGTGAAGATAAAGTGATTATCATGTCATTTAGCCTTTCCATGGGTGTCAGGTTATGACGTCTATCTGGATTGATGCATGCTATTTAAATGTATTAAGTTTATTTATTAAGCTTTAAGAGGATTTTTAAAAAACTTATCGGAAATAAACAGTTATTTGGAATTGATCCCTTTCCAATAATTGCTCATTTTGTATTTGGAATACACACAAGTCCTCTAAAGTAGGACACAGCTGCACTATTGAACAACTGGAATCCTCAAACATGACCTTAACTGTTGATGCTCTTCCAATCATCAGGTTAGGAGCCTTTCAGAGCAGCAAACTGACAACTGCAAATGCAAAGATTAGCATTTCATTTGTTTTGTACTGGACAGGAGGCACTCACTGAGGTACATTATGTACAAACCAGCGTTCACCCCCTTTTATCCTGAATTGAATACAAGGTGGACTGTGGCTCACTTATTCTGTTCTCACAGTACATGTACCAGTGAAAGTCCACTTTTTAGATATGGGGAAAGGATTTTGAATTTTCCATTTCTTAAACCGCACACAGAGATAATTTTGATTTGTGTTTCAAACAACAAAGCTTAGATTTCCTAACCAAAAATACTGACTTAAGAATAAAGCATATATTAAACTGGACACAGCTTAAAGGACAATCTGCAGAACATATCTGAAGTTTAAAAATAAGGGGCTGTCGACTAGCCAGAGGAGAAATATTTTCTCACCTCAAAAAGGTGGTGAAAAAGATGGATGCTTAATAAGCAAGGCAGGGGGTGTGGTGAAAAATTACTGGGGTAGGCAGGACTGTGGTATTGAAGTTACAATTGGATCAGTGACAATATTATTGAATGACAGAGCAGGCTCCAGGGTCCAAATTGCTCACCCCTGCTCATAAGTCATATGTTCCTAAGTGACAGTCATTAATGAATGAACTGCTTAGTTAACGCCAACTTTTCTGCCCAATGGGCACAGAATCACTGTAAGCCCACACTAATTGAAAGAGGTTCATAACTTTGTGCATAAGCATCATCAGAACTAGACAGAGAAAATTATGAAACAGACAAGTAATGGACAGAAGGGACTGCAATTAGATTTAGAATGACACTGGGACTTAAACTGTTAAATGACAACGGCAGATTGGATAAGGTAGACTGGTATTCCTTTCGGTATAAAAGGTTGAAGAGAGTATACAATCTTGATGCTTAATATGTTTAAAGGACATGACAGACAGCAGGACATAACACCAGGTCTTTCACTGGTGAGAAAACCGAGGGCATGGGGATGTAACCTTAAAATTAGAGCCAGTTCATTTAGGGGCAAACTCTGGGGGCGTGACTTTATATAAGGGTAGGAGAAATCTGGAATTCCCTGCTAGAAGACTGTAGGTGCTGAGGTGTAAATAATGAAACTAGTCGCTGCAGTGGTAATATGGTGAGCAAAAATTGATCAAAAGGATTTAAGTGTAAAATTGTGTTCCTGGCATCTCTTCTCAACTCCTGTTGCCACACTGCATAACAAAGAAACTGAACAACCAAACCAAATAAAAATTTGCAGTTTAAAATAAAAACAACTTGCATTTATGTTGTATATTTTTCTTGCCCTCAGGATGTTTCAAAGCAATTCTTAAACTATTTTCAACCATTTGAAGCATAACCACTCCACTGAATTGTGCGTAGCAAGACCCTGCAAACAGTACTGCTTAACTGGAGGTTTTGCTGCAGGAATAAAGTATTGGTCCACCTTTTCCAGTAACAATTTTACTTTGATGGTAACAGAATCACACGCTCTTTCACTGGAAGAGCTGGCGAAACAATAAACGGAAACATATGTCCAGTGATGATTTGTATTTGCATTATTTAAAAATTCTATCACAATTGTAAACTGTACCTTTAAACGCAAGATGGCTGCAGGCATTAATTGGGATGGCTGGCTTGTCACCATGTCTGGAATGTCTGCCACAATCCTGTCAGAAAGCTGGGGTAAACTCAGGCAAACAGGCATGATCATTCTGAATGTAACCTCCAACACAGAATGACCTAGAGTTCACAGGTTTGCAAGGAGGTCGCATGGAAACATGTTCTAGGTGTGAGAGAGAGAGAGAGAGAGAGAGAGAGAGAGAAAGAGAGAGAGAGAGAGAGAGAGAGAGAGAGAGAGAAAAAGAGAGAGAGAGAGAGAGAAAGTGAAAGGAGAGAGACATGAGGGGGGGTGGAATAGAGAGATTGGTTGGTGGGGGGGTTGGGAGGGGAGAAGGTGGCGGGTAGACATCTCAGACACTGCCTGCCTGAGCAGACTGCAAACCACGACATACACTGTGCTAACCACAGCATGGTCAGATCAGAAAGGGATTCCGCTCTCGAACCAGTCAACTGTTTATGGAGAGAGCAGAAATAAAACATTGTGAGCCTGTGTTCAGAAGGTCAGGTAAATCTGATACTCCAAAACAGAACTCTGAGGAAAGCCATGGCAGTGTCCCATATCCTGGACTTCCACAAGTAGTAAGATTGTTAGTGGCTAATGACTTAAGTTCCTTACTAAAGACTTAATTTTATATACATAGAATATAAAATAAATGCATATATAGGGCAAGCTGAAGCAGCTCACTGTTAATTCTAATAACAAAGAAACCTGGCACAGCACTTAAAATATATTAAATAGTTCACTTCCACTACTTAGAAAACAGGTTGTAAACCATTTGTAGGATACTTGTTTGAATGGTAAGTACAAAGAAAAGTCCTGGACAGAATGGAAGTAGAAAACGAGATTTTCCATGATGCAGCTTCAGGCCAATGTTGTTGAGGCACTTGGACAGATTTCTAAACAACTTCTACTTTTGTTTATTGATTCAAAATCAATAGTAATTGTTTTATTCTTTGGAATAAATTTGCTACAAAACAAAAGAAAGACATCTATTAGTCCATGCATTGGTAAAACACACAGGCACAAACATTAAATACTATTCATTCACGTGATCTACCCAAAGGCTGATCCTTGGCTCATTGTCTGCCAATGCTTCAGCCAAGGCCTGTTATGTTCTGATGAAAGCTCATTGACTTGAAACATTGGCCCGCAGCTTGTGAAGTGATGGGGAATTTGGTTGCTGGTTGGTTTCTTTCTCCACAGATGCTGCGAGACCTGCTTAATATTGCCAGCATCTTTTGTATACATAGCCAACACTCACATAAAAACATGAAAAATTAAGAAATCCACTCTTACTTCCCGTTCGTTAACCGGCCTAACTCAAAGCAGCCTATCAATCTAAACAGGTGCTTCACTTATGGAAAAGATTTGCTACAGTCTAAGGGGAGCTAATTTGTACCAGATCAGAAAAAAAACAAGTTTTAATTGCCTTTGTGGAGTCTGCCATTTACATCATGGGACTAGTTCCAGGGAGAGAAGCAATACAATGTGGACTGTCTCCAGTTTATTAAGTTTGCAGCAATATTACATTTGGATTCCACACAATTCAAACGCTTGTCAAAAGCTTGATGAGAATTTAGAATCTGCAGATACAATATAAAGACAGCATGAGGCAGCGAGGTTAAAAAAAAGTGTCTTTTCAAACCTTTACATGCAGGGGAGGAACTCAGCCCCTGGCTAGAATGAAATGTCAGCCCTCATAAAAAATGCCTACAACAGTCTGTGAGTTGGCTGCATGGTAAATGGACTATCAGATCTTTGTTTACTGTATCTGTCGACTTGGACAATTCATATTCTTTATTCTAATGTGAAACGTGGGTGTGTTCAATTCTCACTTGAGGTCTGATATAGATGCCTCAACCAAAAAAAACCGCACTGTGAAATTATTTTTAAAGTCTCCAGGGAACAGTGAAAGACACCCTCTTTATGAAAGAAAGTTAAAATTTAGCCAAGCTCTTTCCCTTCTGAAAGAAAAAGCTAACTGCATCCTCACAAACTGCAATTAAGATCCATGTTCGGTTGTTGTCCCTTCATTCCTGTCAATGAGCAGGGTTTAAGGAAAGGAACGTTTGCCAATTGAAGTGCAGACAGATTACTTTGCAGCTCAGAGAACAGCCCATAAAATTTACAATATGAACAAGAAAGAACAGTCCGATGTTCTGACCACTCGACTTCCACTTTTGTGCTCTCCCTCCTGATACTCAGAAAGAGGTCATGGGAAAAAAATGCAATGCCCACTTCAGCTTTCTGTTTAATGTGACTAACGGACTCGTATGGTACTGGGGAGGGGGGAGGCAGTGAGAGTGTGAGAGAGAGAGCCTCTTGGATTAAACACAGGATTCTTCTAAATTAAGAGTTCTGTGCTACCATCTAATAAATGTATCACCAATGGATACATTGTATCTCTCGAGACCAAATTACATGTCAAACATAAAACCTTGTCAGGAATGCGCAATGTCAAGGAATTACATATTTCCACCATTAGTGATAGCTATCTAAAGCAGCACATTCCTCACATGATTTACAAGCCCAGAATTCCCATTCACTTGGAATGAGACTTGCTCATTGCGCATTGCCTAGTTTGAGGCACCTCAAACGTTAAACAATAAATCCACCTTATTATGCCGCAAA